AGGTATTCTGTTGAGTAGTGAATTCATAGTTGTCCATTTTATTATTATGCTTCATAACTTACTTACATGTTATATATTTATTATGAAGCATTACATGAGGAACTTTAGTGAGGTAAGAAAGGAACGGTTTTGACAATAAGCATAAAAAGGATTAGAATATAATGTGTTGTGAAATTTTCTTTTAGGGGGCATATGCTATGTGCTATTAAAATTTTTAACTTCTAGTTTTATAATGCTATTTGAATGTTAAAAAAAATTTGTGTTTGCTTCAGTCCATCTGGGGAGAAAGGATGTAGGCCTATGTCAGTACAAACATCCTAAGGGAGCTAATTCTTGTTACTTTGCAGACATTTTATGAAACAAGCAGTTGAGACAGGGAGCAGTGTTGGAATGGAAAGAGGGAGACTTGCCAATAACATATTAAGAAGTAGTGCAAGTAGAGGAGTAGGGACAGAATCAAGAATGCAGAGACATTTAAGGAGAAAGTGGACATTTAACCTTAAAAAATTTAAATATATTTTTTTATTAATATAAGGGAAATACAAATGGCCAATCAATACTAAAAAGATTCAAAAGCAGCTTAATTTAAAAAGCACAAAGAGATTCTGGCTTGAAATGTCAAATTCTCTATGTTTTTGTGGTTGCTGAGCTAAACAATGTGATTCTTGAGTTTACAAATTTAAAAACTGTCACTGAAAGTTTAAGGTGTCTGCTGTCTTTCTGAAATCAAATTTATAGTATCTCAGAAATCCCTAGGTAGTGAAACAGTGGTGACCCGGAAGTAAAGAGGTTGGTTTGAAATTGTGGTGAGTCACAAGGATTTCAGAGAAGAGTCAGTATGCAGAAAGCCATAAAACAAGGTTAGTGGACTTCAACAGCACATTTACTCTCTAAAAAGTAATCTCAGGTGTGGTGAATTTTCAAGATCAGATTATCATCATTTTGATCTTCAGTCACTGATACTTTTTTAAAAAGTAACTTTCTTTTATTGACTGAAAAATATAGTTTTATAAACAAACCTATATATGTGTGTGTATATATAACATATATGTTATATATAAATATATCATCACAGAGGTTTGGAGGTATAATGATAGCACTTAAGTCTGAGTCTGTATTGGACAAATAACCCTGATGCTTTTTAAATGATGTGGAAGTTACATTTCTTTGCCTCTTTATTTGGATGGTGGTATGGTTTGTCAAATCACTGAACTTGTGCAACGGTGGCAAGGAAATTACCTGAGATGTCTTGTATTACTGTGCTTTAGCCAGGTGAATAGAGCTTAAATTATAAAAAATAAAGATGAAAGCACAAGAAGTGTAAGTTCATGCTGCCCACTTCTAAGAGAACTTTTGTTCTTCACTGCTACGTAACATAATACCAGTGATTCCTAAGGGGCTTAAATTAGTTCTGTGGGTTGTAAACCTGAGTTACTAGTGTCCATGTTCATCTAAGATCTTTATTCTCTTAATGTTCTTGATCCTACTGAGATGTTTCAGTATGCAAAGATACTGCAATGTTGACATCCAAGACAAAAGCTATAATCATGTGTATAGTGGACATCATGAACAAACTGTCACGCTCTTCAGAAACAAAAAGAGAAAGTGGAAATGGAGTATGTAGATTATAGAATCCTTTCACAAAGGTTAGTAATAACAGAAGAGAGGAAATTAGTTTCTCTCTTCTTTAGGGAGTCTTCAGGACTATTCTCCCTAAACCTGTACTACTTTGCGTTTGTTGATGTCCATATTACAGGGAAGAACTAAAGGCCAAACTTTATTAAGTATTTAAGGGAGGCTCTGAGGTTTCATGTTCAGTCCAGGGATGTGCTCATACTTGCCCCCAACAGGGTGTTAATGGTGTCACTCCTCAGTGTTTCCTTGTCTATTATTTTTACCACCACTTCAAAAATTATTTAAATCATTCCCAATTTTAATGATCACACCAGAATATCATGACAACAGACCAAAACAAACAACCCCTCAAAACAGCCTTCCCACTCCAAAAGAAAATATTTCATAGTCTTTTTTTTTTCCTCAAATTAGGATTGATTGCTTATAATCTGCACATAGCACAGCTCCCACTTAAAATAACGGAAATGGCTTACAGCATTTCAATGGAATTGGTTTATTAATCTATTTTTAAAGCTTTTATCTTCAACTCCTCCAAAGGGTGTATTTGTGTGTGTGGGAGCCTGTTAATATATCAACTGTTTACTTCCTTCTCGCCCAAGAACATTTCTGTTGGTGTGGTAGAGGGGCAGGAAGGAACAACGCAAGTGTCACCGCCCTATGGCGTCTTTCCAGAGCTCCCACTCTGCTCTGTGTGCCTGCTGCACACCAACACACTTCTGTCACAACACTGTATTGATTTAGTTACATGCCAGGCTTCCTAACTGGGCTGCAGGTTTCTTGAGGGAAGAGATCAGAGCTCTAGCTCATTTTGGTTTCTCCACAGCTGTGTCCTGGGTTGGATATATACAATTGACTCAATACATGGGGAGCTCTTATACACTGTTGGTGGGAGTGCAAATGAGTACAGCCATTATGCAGAACAGTATGGAGTTTCTTCCAAAAGCTAGAAACAGAACTACCATGTGACCTAGCAATCCCACTACTGGATCTATAGCCAAAGGAAATGAAATCAGAACTCCCAATATGGGAGACATCAGTACTCCCATATTTATCACAGCACTGTTCACAACAGCTAAGACATGAAATCAATCTAGGTGCTCATCAACAGGTAAGTGGATAAAGAAAATGTAGTTCATATACACAATGGAATACTACCCAGTCAGTCATAAAAAAGAACAAAATCCTGTTGTTTATGACAACACAGATGAACTTGTAGAAAATTGTATCTAGTGAAACCAAACACAGAAAGACAAATAATGCATGATCTCACTATATATGGAATCTAAAAAAGCTGATCTTATAGACCAGAGTAGAATGGTAGTTACCACGGGCTTGGGTGGCTCTGGGGAGGGGAGATAGGGAGACATTGATCAAAGAACTAATTAAGTTAGCTAGAAGGCAGCAGGAGTTGGGGGAATGTCCAGAATAGACAAATTTATAGAGACAGAAAGCAGATAAGCGATTTCCTGCCTGGAGTAGTGGGAGAGAAACTGGGAATGACTACTGGGGAATACTTAAGAATTTCTTTCTTGGGTGATGAAAATGTCCTAAAATTGATTGTAGTGATCATTGCACAACTCTGTGAACGTATTAAAAACCATTTTAGACTGGCCGTAAGTAGGAAGATCAGGCTCCCAGCTGGGCCCCAAGCAAAAATCAAGACCCTATCTGAAAAAGAGAACCTAAAAGCAAAATGGGCTGGAGGCTCAAGTGGTAGATAAGGATGGGAGTTCAAAATCCCAGTACTGCCAAAACAAATAAAAACAAAGCTCAATAGGTGATTAGACAACATCATTGAATTTATTTTGAGAGATAGGGCCTTACTATGTACATCAGGCTGGCCTGGAACTTGTGTTCCTCCTGCCTCAGTCTCTTGAATGTTACGATTTAATCTGATTTTTTAATACTTTTGAAAACCCCCTTTAAAAATAAATGTTTATTTCAAAAGCCGCTTAGATAAAACACTAAGCTTACATTGTACCTGGCACACAGTGAGTACTCAATAAATGTTTTTTTGAATGAATATCTAATACTTAGACACCACAATGTGAAAGTTTGGAAGTAAGGAAAGTTCTGGAAGTAAGGAAAGCCACAAAATAAGCTATGACACATCTTTCTCAGTGCAAATTGTCTGAAGTGTTTGGAAGCTGTTCAAACAAAAGGTGAAATCCAAAATTCACGTTCCTTTTAAAGAAAAACATGTTCCTGAAAATAGTTTCGGCTTGTAGGGGATCATACGGGGGTTTTTTAGTGTCAGAAGTGGTAGGTATATTTTGTGATGGGTTTTACATCTTTTATAGAAGATACACTATGAGTAAGGAGGACCAATTGTTAACATCCATAGTGGTTTAACTCTTTATAAAGCAATTTTCTTATTATCTTTTCTGGGCTTCACCACTTCCCCTTGAGTACATTATCAACATCCTCATTTTACAGATTAGGAAACTGAGTTTACTAAATCTGCTCTGCGGTCCTCTAGGGAATGGCGCAGGGAGACTGCTGTTACTAAAGAAAAATTATTGTGTTACTTAATAAAACAAATGTTCCCCCACCCCCCTTTTTCTTTTGTCCGTGCTGGGGATCCAACCCAGGGCCTCCAGCACGCTAGCAAGGAGCTCTGACACTGAGCCACCTCTCCAGTCCCCCAAACGAAGTTGTTATTGAAGTCTGCTGCAAGAAGAGTCATGACCTGCAATAGGGGAAATAAATTAAGCTTAACTCAGAAAACACTAAGTACAGTTGGGGATTTGTAGCCAAGTGGACAAATGAGGCTAATGGGGTCAGTGGAAAGTTACTAAGAGGAAACATCACATCAAGGGCAGGGGGATTCTTGCTAAAGGCAAGCCAAGGACAGACATTAGAGGTGGGAGGATAAACTCGTTAAGATATTACGTATTAAAATATCAAGAATGATAATGATCAGACAACAACAGTGGAAGAATGACTTAGCAGGATTCTTGTTAAAACTGGGCTCAGCTAGGACAGACAGACCAAAGTAAAGGGCCAACAAGAGAAGAGGGCTAGCTTGGAGTTTGGTCCATGTGTACGTCTGTCACCGTCTCCCCAGATCTCTTTACTACTCATCCCCATGGACGAAGTCGGAGGTGGCAGGCTCTGGGATCACGAGGGAGCCCTGCTTGCCTCTGAAAGCAGCCCTGACCAGCAGCTGGGGACAAAACGGCCAAGTTCCTGGGAGACCACCGAGAAACGCCGCGTCGGGAGAGAAATCTCCTGACGACACAACAAGCCCCGCCCCTCCAGCCAGCGCCCAACCTCACGGAGGGCTCCGCAGGTCGGCGAGGCGGGCCGTCGGCTCTGATTGGCTGCCCGCCGGCATGGGGTTTCCCGGCTCCGCCCCTGCCGCGCGCGGGCCCGTCCCGCGCAGCCGGCGGGAGGGGCCCGAGTCCGCGTTCCTCCTCCCTACCGGTCCTCATCCTTAAAGCACGAGTCCGCACGCCCCGCCTGTTGAAGAGGGCTCCGGGATCGGGACAGCCAGTAGCCAGGGAAGGCCAGGGCCGACCCAGAAGGACTTGAGGCAACAGAGTTGCCGCGGCTGGCACGCAAGCGCCTCGGTCGCCGACTGAGCGTTTGCGGGAGTTGTGAGGGGAGGGGTCCCGGGCGCCATTGCTGGCTGTCGGAGCGCCGCCGAGCCCCAGTCCGCCCTCGGCTGCTCTCCTCAGTCCGGGAGGAGCCATCGACAGCCCTTGGGCTGGGCTCTAGAACACGGCGTCTCGGCCGCCAGCCCGCAGCTCCGTGTGCCGCCCGCAGCCCAGGGGGAGACCATGTTTGACAAGACGCGGCTGCCGTACGTGGCCCTCGATGTGCTCTGCGTGTTGCTGGGTACGTACGCGCCGCCGGCCCGAGGGGCGTGTGCGCGCGGGCGCGGGAGGGGTGCGCCTGGATGCGGGCCGGGGTCTTGTGGGCGGGGACTCCTGCGGAGCCGCGGAGGGTGGGTGGGTGTGCTTGACGCGTGCGTGCGTGTGCGTGCGCCACTGCGGGCGAGACGCGGGGGGCGGCCTCCGCAGCTCGGGACCCCGCTTTGCAGCCTGCACCCCGGCTCCCGTGGTCGCCACTGCCTGCCTGTCGCCTGCTGGTCTGCTGAGCCCAGCCCTGCTAGATCGCTGGCTGTTCACGCCTCTGCGCTGCGTCCCTTGCTCCTGTCTTCTGTTGTCCACCGTAGCTGGCAGGGTGGGCGCTTCCCTTTCCACTGGAAAACGTCCTGGTCACTGGCCCATCAGGTTCCGTAGCGAAACTGGAGGTTCTCAGCAGCAGGCGCCAGTGTCTGCTTTATCTTCCTTGTGGGAAACAGTTGGATTTTTTCAGCTATAAAAGGCTAGGACGTTCCTAATTAGAAGGTTGTTCCAGGTTGTAAATTGTCAGGTTGCAAGTTGGGACGAGGATGCCCAGTTTCTGCCTTGCAGATCCGAAGAAGCTTGCTTTTGGGTAGGGTGTTGTGTGTGTCCTAGATCTGTTGCCTTCTCTGCGCAGGCCGACCTTGCCATGGTGTAGCTTTCCATCTCTGGTGACAGCCCTGCAAGGAGCGCTAGACATTGTCCAGCTGCGGCAGATACGATGTTTTCTTCCTCTAGCGAAGAAGACTGCCATTCTTGTTGCCAGGTGCTCCTTCCTTTTGATGAGAAAGAATTGAATTATCTGGATTAAGAAATAGGCGTTGGAAGGAGGGGCTTTCACCTTTAAAATATGTGTTGGGACAGGCAGCTACGCTGTGAACTGTTTACGTTACGGAAAACATCAAGACCTGCTGGAAGTTTGGATAGTGCAGCTCGCGTTTAATCTAAGAAGTAGTCTTGGCAAATTCTCATCCGAGATGCAAGTCTGCATAATGGCTTCTCAGAGAAGAGAGGAAATTACCCCAGTTTTAACTAAGTGGTTCCTGAATGTTCTCCTCTCTTGCTTCCAACCTGCCCTTTTTGGTGCTTACAATCTCGATCAGTTCTTACAAATTCTGTTACTTGTTTTTAGGAAAAATTCTTGTCTGTTTTCTATGAAGCTTCTTTATTGTTTACCAGAACACTTCTTTTGAAGCTCCACAGTGATTTTTTAGAAATTAAGTGTAGGATAGGAGAAGGGGATACAGGTTAGATCACTCTTCAGGCCATGCATGATGGTTCATGCTTGTAATCCCTGCACTTGGAAGACTAAGGGCAGGAAATCAGGTCAGCCTGGGCTGCATAGTGAGATCCTGGTTCAAAAAAAACCAGTCTTTATAGAAACACAATCTTTTCTGATGTCAAAGTGTTAAAAATTACATTAAAATAAATTTATTTGCAATGAAAAGTTAATGTTTGGTAAAGACGTTAAAAGTATATTTTAACTTGGAGTCAATGAAACTGTGTTAAAATTTTAGTGAAGGGAGAGGAAGTAATTTGGATAATTTTAATGTATCACCACCACATATTGTATACTATCAGAATTATATATCAGCTTCCCCTTTTATGAACATGTGGGAGTTATTAAATTATAAAATATGATGCTTTTTCTATCTAATGGGGAGGGATAAAATGTAATATATGCTTGCTCTTAGGTAGCTTAAGCTAAAGTTACTAAAAACAAAACCATACACTTGATCTGTATTTTTTAAAAAAATTCATGTATAATGTGGGAATCTATATGCAGTAACGTTTTATAAATTATAAATTCTCGTATTCTCAATAAGATGCAAACATCACACGATTGCCCTGTGGAGGTTAGTGTAATTTTATTCCTACTTTGACCTTACAGTTTCAGAAATATGATGACTTTAAAAAAGAAATTTAAAATGTCTTTTGGAAATAGCTTCCCTTAGAGATGTATGCATTAAGTTTGTTTTGGAAATGACATCATCTATTTGAAACATAGTTTATCTGTTTTCATGTTACTGAAGTTTCTTTTTAAAGTAATTCAGTGTATAGTCAAGATAATCCCTTACTTCCTTTACACTGACTGCTTTAATTAGATACCTAAGATGACTTTAGATTTAACATTGTCGGTTCTCCATTACAAATAGCAATAAAGGTACAGAAGATACAAAACTTTTTTCACACTGGCTTTTGGAAGACATACGTTTTTATAGCAAACTCATTGTTTTCCAGTAGAGTCTACTAAGGCTTGTATTAAATTTGGTTTTTATTCACCTTATGGTGGCAGAAGATTGGTAGCCTAAAACCATGGTAGCTCGATGAGGGTTATCAATTTGGTCTTAACTTTCCTTTTTCATTAGAGCATCTACAGGTAAGAGTTGACTACAACAGCAGAAAGATGATTAAGCACTTTGTAAGTACAGGGTTATGTGAAAGTGATTCATAATTGCAATGTGACTGCGTTCTAGATTATGTTAATGACCACCCCAGCATCATTCTGGTTATCCACTTTAATATGATGATGTTATGTGATTTTGTTACACAAGGACTTTATAATTTTACCAAGGGTGATGTCTTTTGAAGTGATCTGGAAACATGCTCGATCTCTCTCCCTCTCCCTCTCCCTCTTTGTGTTTATGTCCCTACATCTTGTTTATCATCAGTGGGCAACATGAATTCTTCTCTATACATACCAAAACAAATCATTAGCTCCTTCAGTGGATCTGGTAAATCCTTGGAAAACAGATGAGAATTTTGAGAGATCTGTATTTAATTATTTTCTGAAGTGAAGTATAGTCTTACCATCTTGCTCTGGTTCTTTTGATGAATGGGTCTATGATTGTAGACAAGGCCATATACATTGTCTGAGTGCATGAAAAAAGCTACTTTATGGAGACAGAGGGTGGGATGAACACTGGCTATGTTTTAGCCAGTGTATTAAACCATGTCTTGAATACAGCTTATTAGTGTTTAATTGCTAAGGGTCATTCCATATTTTAGCCAACTAATGGATACTAAGTCCATTAATTGATTCAGTGTACATCGATTGAAGGCCAGCTTTGTACCTTGTTATATGCTAGGGATACAAAAATGTAGGACAATTCTTGCTATACAAGAGCTCAGAGTCTATTGAAGGAGAAACAAACAAGGTTACACTGCATTCTGAGAAGTACAGTAGTGTAGGTATGGAATAGATGTCCTTGGACCCAGAGAAGGGCCTTGCCTTGGATCTGTTCCATTATAGAGAAATAGCTCATCTCTTTATTCTTAGAGATGCAGAAATGTCAAAAGTTACTTAGAATTACTATTAGACTCTCCCCCACCCCCTTCTTCAGCTTAATCTACCTGCTAATGACTTATTTACAGGCAGCCCCATGATGTCTAGAATATTTAGATGGAACTGGCAAAACCTTCTCTTTCTCTGTGCCTGTATTTTGGTGTGTGGCAATCATTTAGAATACCTTTCTGTGCCACATATTCTCCATTTGCTCTTCCAGACCTTTTCTTCATTCTGCTTCTGTCCTCTGGGAAGCAACTCGTATGGGCTACCTCCACTGAGCCCTTGCCTTTGGAAAAGCCAGCTGGATTTTCTGTTGCAAGGGCTATTCTGTGAGTAGGTCGTAACTCCTGTTCAGCAGCCCTCTCTGCCTGCAAGGTACAGTTACAGCTCTGGGTTCTGATAACCTTTCTTTGGCCCTCTTTAAATCTAGAGGTGATAATGGGTTACCTGAGGATATGCTACCATCGTTAGCTGCTTTCCCCAAATCCTACCTGCATCTTTGAAAATGGTTCCTTTACTAAATTCTCTTGAATATCTCATTCGCAGTCCTTTTTTTTTTTTTTTAGCCAGAAGATGACTACTGATTATACTCATCTATGTCCAAAACAGAATTGAGGTAACCTTACCTTTTTGCACTAGACTCCAATTATAGTGGCCCTTAATAGCAGATGCCCTTGGGCCCCATGTTGGCTTTCTTAGGAGGGAACAGGTTATGGTTTCCTTAGCATGCTCCAAATGTGGTATCACCCATTATGCCAGCTCAAAGTCATTAGGAATAGAATGAAATCTGGCAGCAGAAACATTGGCTGTCAACACTTGGTGGTTGTGGAATCCTTGTTACTTGTTACCCCAGTAATTATCTCAACATGGATGTTGTGTGTAATCACCATAATGCTGACATCATTCTACCCCATAAGTATACCCCTAGGGAGTCGTGCCTTTCCTAATCCCAGTCTGGGTCCCTTCAAGAGAAGAAGCAAAAGTAAAAAGATTTTGGGAAGATGCACATTTGCTAAATAGCCTCCAGCATTTTGTGCCTTCCCTTTTTACTTAGTGTTGATTTTCTCATTCACTTATTATTTAGCAAACACTTGTCGACTGTCTAGTATTGTCAGGCACTGAAAATAAAGATAAGTAAATAAACAAATAGGACACTTTGCCTATGACTACTTGCCACTTCAGCTTCTACTAACTTCAATTAAGAACATTTATTTTGCTTCTGATATAAGTTTGCTAGTTTTCTTTTCTTTTTTTTTTTTTGTGATACTGGGATTTGAACTCAGGGCCTCATTCTTGCTAGGCAGGTTCTACTTGAGCCAATCCCACAGGCCTTTTTGCTTTATTTTTCTAACAAGTTCTCTCTTTTATGTCTGGATTGGCCTGGACCGCAGTCTTCCTATTTATTTTTCCCACATAGCTGGGATGACAGGTGCATGCCACTATACCCAGTTCAAGATGGGGTCTTGAGAATGTTTTTTTGTTTGAGTTGCCTCGAACCATGATCTTTCCAATCTCTACCTTTTGAGTAAGCTGAGATTATAGGTGTGAACCATTGTGCCCGGCCTAGTTTTGTTTCTTTAATTTTTCTTATTGCTTCCAGCCATATAGAAAGGAATTTCAAAAAATGAATAAATATTTGTTAAACTGGCATATTCTTGGGTCAGACTGGAATCTTGTTGCAAGGTTTTTTCTTTAAATGG